AGTAATATAAACATGCCTAGTTTTTTGCTGTTTTAGCGTCTCGAAAATCATATATATAATACTCACTGGTTTACTAGTTTGAGCACAGTCTGACATGGTAGGGATTCTCCCACATTTGTGGTTGAACCCGAGGTGACTATATATGGTAAAACCTCAACTTCAGTATCAGCACTGCGCTCTGATGAGGCCAAACAGCAAACAAATCAAAAAGTTAATAAGAAAGACCTTTAGTTTACATACAAGATGGAAGGAAAGAAGGAAGGGAAAGAAAAAGGTAGGAACAGATCAAAGAAATAAAGAAAGGAGGGAGGAAATTTTAAAATTACAAACCAAGGATCTATTACCTTGTTCACCAAAGCCATTATCACGTTAGAGAGGTTACTCAAGCAAGAGTTGATATTTTTAATTTCTTTTAGTCGCTGACTTAGTCTTTCTGATCCCGCAAGGTCTATAAGATTTAAGGTCCCTGCGTAAACAAAAGTAAAMAAGCAAAAAACAGTTGGCTACCTAACGAGCATGCTAGACATAAATGTTATTCCTACCTTGGCATTTCTCGTCTGTAATTGTGTTCTCTGCACTGATTTTTAGGACAAAGACACTGTGGCTCCTACTGGACCTTTCGTTACACTTGGTTGAGCCAACAGAGCGATTTTGTGCGGCTGTTTTCATAAGCGAAAAAACCTTTGAAAAAAGTAACTTGCGTTAATCTCTGTTTATCTTGCGACCTTGCGGGATCAGAAAGAGGGAGCACGAACAACTACATGGACGTAGACTAATTAAAAAAAAAACAATAAAAAAATATAAACAAAACAAAAAAATCAATAAATAATTTTCTGTATTAAATGGAGGTAACTTTCCAGTGCAGACAAACACAAAGGTAATTGAATGTTCTTGTTTTGATTCATAGTATAAACATCAGATATAAGTCAATAAAATGCTGGTTGATTTTAATTGCAGATCACATGAAATCAACTCGTGGCGGCCATTCATAATTAAAATTAAGTTATCTAACGACGGCCAATCTCTTGAAGTTAGAGATGTTCTGGTATGTCAACCAGATGAACAAGTAATAATTTCCTTGAAATTGAAATGCACTTTTTATTAATAGTGAACAGCATAGTATTATTCAGTTATCAAAATTACAAAGGGAGGAAAAGCAGGTTTTGTTCCTAATCACTCAACACCAGTTCTTCTCGGTCAACTAGATTATCAAAACAGGAAGCCATTACATGAAACTGTATTTCCTCTGTAGTAGTTTCTGTACACAGCCTATGGTCCCAAGGGCTAAATCAGTTGAAGTATGATAGGGAACTTTTACAAACAAATTGCAAGCTGGGTCTTGAAAAAGAGCAATGTCCTTTGCCCGGGGGGGGACTCCCTAATATCAAAGGGCGGGGGTCCTCGGCGTCCCTTTTAGGGTTTGAAATCGGTATTTTGGTCCCGCTTAGGGTGATAATGACGAGAATTCCCACCAACTGAGTTTTGCGGTCCCTTTTAGGGTATATAACGTCCCTAAGCCGTCACTATGAGATCAAAAACAACAGCTGCTAATTAGATGATTGATTTTATTTCACGTTTGTCACTTAACATTCCTTAATATTGGTCCCCTTTAGGGATGAAATTTCAGCACCGCCACGCCCATCATCTCCAAATACAGGTCCCTCTTAGGGGTCATTTTCATAATTTCCGCCGAGGACCCCCGCCCTTTGATATTAGGGAGTCCACCCCCCCCTGGGGTCCTTTGGTCCTCCAGGCTGACGCTTTTTCTTTTTTGCAGAAACGACAGCGAATGTACTGATAATTTCTATCTGCGAATTTACATGCAATTGCGTAGTATAATTTTGCTTACACAGCACGAAATAAATCTCTTTGCGGGTCCGTATAGATTGTGCCAATCTTTACGGAACCTTTACACATTTTTACGTAATGCGTAAAGAATAAGAGATCCGTAAAGGTTGCGTAAATATCCGTAATGATTCGTAATGATCCAGCGGGATATTTACGCAACATTTACAAATCTTTCCGAAATGCGTAAATAACAAGAGATCCGAATAGAACTACTACTAGCTAATGATAATCAAATTTTTAGAAATAATCAGTTTAACATTAATTTAGTGAAAAAAGGTCTTTGATACATGACTCCCTCACGACTCGATCCCCTACCGTCCAGTCTATATGCGCCGTCTTATACCATTACACCACCGAGTTTCTGATACGATTCCTCGGAAGATAACATACTTATAAATCTTATGGATTAGGCTCATTAGGAATACCATGAATAGCAGACAAAGACAATTTGAATAGCTTTTGTTTCAGAAAACCGTCCGGGAATTGAAGAACAACAAACGGTGCTTCATGTATTCAAAATTATGAAAACTGAAAACCTTAGTGGAGATGCAATAAATCAATATATTTCTGTTATATGTATTTCCTTCGCTTTTTTTCCCTCCCGAATAATTAATGAGTTTTTGAAGTCGTTCAAAGGCCTCCAATTCGGACTTGACCGGATTTCAAAATCCTTGCAATTAGTTCCAGTCCTCGGCTAGCGCCTCGGACTGGAACTAATTGCGCGGACTTTGAAACCCTGTCAAGTCCTCATTGTCGGCCTTTAAACATTACTTCTTAAACATTCGTAAAGATCTTGGTCACGTCCGCTCGTTATTGACACTACATCGCGTTATAAAACATTTTATTTGTAAATTCATTCAGTAGACATTAACCCATTACACTGACATATATACTACAACTAATAAAACTATTTACAATTAAAAAGTTACACCCAGTAAGGGAGTAACCCGACATTCTAAATATACTAAATAATAAAATTATTTATAATTAAAAAGTTACACCCAGTAGAGGTGTACGCCGACATTCTAAATATACTAAATAATAAAATTATTTTCAATTAAAAAGTTACACCCAGTAGAGGAGTAACCAGACATTCTAAATATACTAAATAATAAAATTATTTACAATTAAAAAGTTACACCCAGTAGAGGTGTACCCCGACA